TGGAACAGAGGGCAGGCAAAATAGAACACAAAAAGAGAGGATGGTGAAAAGAACATTCCCAATGAAAAGTATATATGATATGCTATATAGAGTCCACTTTCTAGTCTCAGCCTTACTTTTAGGGGTGTTCTGCAGTCCCTAAAAGTTAGCATAGGCTTCCCTTTAAATAGAGAAACTTTTTAAAGAAGGGTTTAAATGTATAGAGGTAGGTGCTATGTAGTATATTGCTTACACTTTAAAGCAAAACAATAGTTTGCTGAGCCCATAAAACTTGAAGCTTGGTCTGTGTTACAAAGTTCGTTTGACATAAGTTGCCTTGTGTTGACCTATTTGCTCATGTGTATACATTCAGATTTGTCTCTGGCTGCCGTAAGTGCCCTGTACTTGTACTCATGGAAACGGGCTGAAATTTTATTGTGTCGTGTAACTGAAAATTCCCTCCCCATTCCCTCTCCCAGGCCTCCTGCTCTTGGGAGGCCACACTCACCCTGGCTGGGATTGGAGAGCAGTGCTGTGCAGGCACTCCAAAGTAGAAGTGTCAATAAATGTGTCAAAAAGAAAAGGAGGACTTGTGGCACCTTAGAGACTAACCAATTTATTTGAGCATTTGCGAATACAGACTAACACGGCTGTTACTCTGAAACCTGTCAATAAACGTGTCGTATTTTAAACTTTTATATGGATAAGGGAAAGGCATTCTGAAACTTATCTTTTGCTTTTCATTGTGACCATAAATATTATGATACATTTTTCTGTTTTATCTGTGGCTGTTGCCGTTGTGGTCTTGAGAGGTGCCCCCTCCACACCCACAGAACACCTGACACTGATGTTGAGAAAGAATAGAACTAGGGAGGATGTGTTCAGTGAGATCTTGCAAGCCAGTGGTGCATTGGAACAGGGGGCCTGGAGGGTGAATATGGCAGACAGCCTGGAGGAGGAAAGAGCAGGCTGGAGCAAATCCCAGCAGGAAAAGGAGAGGGAGCTGCACCAGGTTATAATGAGGCTTCTCAGGCAAAAAACACAAATGCTGCAGATTCTTTTTGACCTACAGGTCCAACAATCATAGACTCACTTCTCTTTGAAATCCATGAAGAACTCCATTTTAGCACCTCCCTACACCCCTCTCTCAACATTCCATGTGGTATCAGGGGTTACATCCCTAAACCCCTACCTCTTCACACGAGAGGACAGTAAGAACAGCATCTCATACACCTACAGTGGCTCTCATAGGGTATGTGAGGCCAAAATGGACTGAAATGGAGAGGAAAGTTTTCTACCTTTCCCATTTTAAAGTTCTGTTAATTTATTTTAGAAGTTTGTGTTTTAATTGCACGTTCTTCTTTTACACTGTTTTTGGTACACAATATATGTCTATTTTGGGGAAATTAATTTATCTTATTACTTCACTGTGCCTAGTGCTACTCAAAGCACCTACTCCTTGTAATTGTACAGGACCACAGAATTCATAGGTTCAGTGAAAAACACAGTGTAATAATTATAATGTACAGCAAGCACCACAGAATTCATAGGTGCATTAAAAGATAGTATGGTATTCTTACATGTACACCAAGCACTCCACTGTTCCTAACCACCCTCAAAACTGCAGTGCCAGGCAGAGCACACTCTACCATACCACATTACTGTGGCTGCTGGTTAAGGTGCTTCTCTAGGCCACCCTCAGCCGCATAATGTCCACTGTGTCTGGCTGTTCAAACTCACCAAACAGCTGCTCCACCTTCACCCCAGCAGAAACTTTTCTACCTTTGTCTCACAGATATTATGCAGGACACAGAAGGCAGCTGTAACTATTGGGATATTTTTTTCTCTGAGATCCAGTCTTGTGAGTAAACAATGCCAGCATCCCTACAACCTACCAAAAGCACGTTCAGCTTTCATTCTGCACCTGCAGAGCCGTAGTTGAATCTTTTCTTGATTCTGTCAAGGTTGCTGGTGTACATTTTCATGAGTAAGGGGTAAGCTGGGTCCAGCCAGAATCACTACTCGCATTTCACCATTGCCAACAGTAATCCATCATTCAGGAAAGAATGTCCCTGCTTGCAAGCTTCTGCACAGTCCTGTGGTCTTAAAGATGTGAGTGTCATACACCTTCCCTTAACAGCCCACGTGATATCAGTGAAGCATCTCCCATGATCCACTATCACTCGCATAACTATTATCAAAATAGCCCTTTCTGTTGATGTACGCTACGGCAACGTGGACTGGTGCCAAAATAGGGATGTGCATGCTGGTTGTCAGAAACCCCATAGCTCCAAGTCCATCCATGGACATTGCCAAGACATTCCTGCATAACAGGAAATGATTAATGGCCCTGCACACTTGCATGGCAACAGCTCTCAATGAATTTTCCAATTCCAAAATGATTTTCCGCTGATCGGCAGCAAACTGGCATTGCAAGCTTCCAGAGTGCAATTGCCACTTGCGTCTCAGTTATCAGGGCAGCTCTCATTTTGGTGTCCCTGTGCTGGAGAGCTGGGACAAACTTGGCAGAGAGATCCATGAATTTCGTTTTTTGTAGCTGAAAGTTCTTCAGGTCAGTGTTCCAAACCTACATTACAATGTAATCTCACCAGTCAGTACTTTTTTCTCAGGCCCAGAAGCAGCTCTCCACTATCTTCAGCTGTTCTATGAATGCCACCAACAACATTGAATTGGATTTGGCTGTCCCCCTCAGCAATCCATCCTTGAAGAAACTGTCATGTCCCCCATTGTTGTGGTACTTCCTGCAGCTTTGCAAATATCAGAGGATTGTTCATCCTATGTTTGCAATGTTAATGACAATAGTGCAGAGCTCTGCAGCCTCCATGCTTCTGTCAGAGATAGTGGATAGCAAAAAGTGCCACGAGTTTGTGGTATTTTTTAAAAAGATGATGCACAAGTATAGGCTATGGATGGCATTATGGGATGAGAAATTTGCATGATGGAACTTGACCCCTTGCTCCTAGTCACCCCTGCACAACTCATTTCTGTCTCACAATATATTGTGAAAATTTCCCAAAAGATGGTGCACGAGGTGGTAGCAAGTGGCACACTGGATTACCTATGCATGGTGCACTGCACTGTGTATCAGCACAAACACTCCTGGCGAATATGTGCAGCACCGATGCAAGCAGCCAGCCATGCATGCGCATGAGCAATATACTAACTGCAGCGGCTTTACACTGATGTAACTTACATTGACCAAAGTGTATAGTGTAGACATAGCCTCACAATCCATAAAGTTTGCCACTCCCTAAAAATGAGACATTTTTACACATCCAGAGTTATTGTTTCATGTTTTTCTGACTGGGAAACTCCAAGCCTGTTTTTTACCAGTTCTACATTTTATTAATTGTAAGTTAAGTGTAGCTTTTGGATCTGAACATGGTTTGATATGCTGATGCTAATTAACAATTAAATCAGACAGTTACAAAAATAATTAATGGATCTTTGTATCACGTACGTCATCATTCAGCAGCATTCCATTATCAAGTCAAGACTTAACATCAGGGGCCTGCTACTGCAACCACCACACACACGAGGGCCAAATTCTCCCCACACGTGCAGCAATGCAACTCCATTGAAGCCAAAAGGGTTGCATGAGCAGGACTTTAGCCCTATAACAATCTTCAGAATGCTTATTTTATAATTAAAAATAAATAAATACTTGGATAAACATTTATTTGTACAGGCCACAAAATAGGACAGTCTTCAGCTAAGCAGAAAAAAAACAGGTTGGGTATCACTGCACAAACTTAGTTTTCTGCGTACTGTGCAGTTATATATCCACAGGTGATATTCTTCTTGCCCGAGGATGTTTTCCCTGTTAAGCAGATGGAGTTACAGGGCCCAGGGTGTACTGCACCTCAGCTAGGCAAAATGAATGAAGGATCGTTTTCAGTAAGCATGGTTTGATTCCCTTGTTTACATGTTTAGAAATACAGATTTCTATGTAATGCTCTCATTACAACAAATCTTTCCAAATAAGAGGGAGAACAGAATATCACTATGCTTTAACTTCCTTGGTAGAGAAAGAAAGTAGGCCTGTTTCAAAAATGATGAACGATTTTGCATGCTAAGCTTCAGACTCCTTTTTCGGAGTGTGAGTGCTCAGCACTTTCTGAAAATCAGACCCCTTTAAGGTGTAACTCTCCTGCTGGGATTTTTTTGCGGGTGAAGATGCCCCTAATTGGTATAGAGCTGGCAAAGCTGACTCCTGTGCCACTCCTGTGCAACTCCCAGGTATGTAACATGTTGGGAATGGAAGGGGGCAAACCCAGAGTAGAATGCACTTCAGCAGTTCCTTGACGACTCTTGTCAAATGGCATAAATTAGAGTAGCCCCCATCTGTACTTAGCGGTAAGCCTGAGCAGAGAATCAGGTAGCCAGAGCCAGCTCCTTGGTAACCTTCCATTTCTGCTGTGCCTAGCAGAAGCTGGCTGTAACAGAAACCCTAGCCTGAAGTCTGGGTCTGACATAGACATGGTAGCAATTTTTTTTCTATTTCTACAGCTTGGGCTTTGACTACCACAGGTCATAGGCGCCGACTTCTGCTGGCACCGGTGGGTGCTTGACCCCCCTCTGCCTCTGGCCCCGCCCCTGCCATGCCCCCATTCCAACCCCTTCCCCAAAGTCCCTGCCCCAACTCTGCCCCCTCCCTGCCCCTATTCCAACCCCTTCCCCAAATCCCCACCCTGGCCCCGCCTCCTCCCCTGAGCGCGCCATGTTCCTGCTCTTCCCCCCTCCCTCCCAGAGCTTGTTACGACATGAAACAGCTGTTTTGTGGCGTCAAGCGCTGGGAGGAGAAGTGGGGACGTGATGTGCTCAGGGAAGGAGGCGGAGGTGAGGTGGGGTGGGGTGGGGAGCTTGGCTGCCGGTGGGTGCAATTTTTCCCTGTGGGTGCTCCTGTCTTGGAGCACCCACGGGGTCGGCACCTATGCCACAGGTGTTGGTTTGTTACATTCTGAATTTATAAAAATCAGTGCACTTTACTTTCCTTTTACCTGCTCTCAAGTCCATATCCAAAGAAGTTTCCGGTAAGGAGACTGAACCATTGGAAGTTGAGCTTGTTGCATTAGACTTCAGAGACTTCGTTGATTTCAAAATGATAGTTTATGCTCCAAATTCCTTGGTCTATATCCAACAGATGTTTCTGCCCTGCTCCAATCTGAAATTATAGAGTGGTGAGTTTGGGAATAAAAGGACATATAAGAGGTAATATTTTGGGTGCAGTTAGTTAGGTCACTATATCATGAGATGCAGCTGATTACTCCATGGCACTCTGAGTGGTTTCCTGAGGTAGCAGAGTTTGGAAATAGGTACTGTGTAATACACTCACAACTACACTAGACAGGAATCAATCTCTGTACATTGGGGAAATGTTTCCAGTACTATATAACATATATACTAATTCTCCTGCGTGGGTCTCTGGTGGAGACATATATTACAGTTTGGTCATTCTGGGCTGGAGCTTTGTTGGCGTTTATTGCAGATGGAAATGATCTTGCTTTGATAAACCAGATTTTGAAGTGTAAGCAACTCAAAAGATGTAATTGTCCCATTGCTTTCTCGTGTTCTTCTAGGTTTATTTCATTAGAAGCTCCTCCATAGACTGTCTCTTTGGTGAATTATTTGCATAACTATAAAATAAAAGTCCCTCTCTGTGTTTTTTTTAATCACTATTTATAATATACTATGATGCATGTGAGAACATTTGCAACACACTTTCCTCTTCTGCCTTTATTCCTTTCGGTGTGTTAGCCCTCCTGTTGTAAATCTGCAAATATGTCTATTGCATCTGTCTATGTTCTGAGTGTTAATATATAATCACACACCCAAGGCTACATTGTGTCTAGCCAAACCAAAAAAAAAAAAAGACACAGTGACATTAATCTTTAGAAAGGGAGGTTTCAGTAAAATGAGAAATAAAATTTCATAGATTGAAAGATCAGAAGGAACCATTGTGATCATCTAGTCTGACCTCCTGTATAACCGGCCAGAGAACTTTCCCAAAATACTTCCTGGAACAGATCCTTTTAGAAAAAACAGCCAATCTTGATTTAAAATTGTCTGTGATGAAGAATCCACAATGACATTTGGTAAATTGTTCCAATGGTTAATTACTTTCTCACTGTTAAAAAATTCTGCTTTATATCAAATCTGAATTTTCTAGTGTCAACTTCCAGCCACTGGATCGTGTTATACCTTACTCTGCTAAATTGAAAAGCCCATTTTTAAATACTTGTTCCCCACATTGGTACTTACAGACTAATCAAGCCACCTCTTAACCTTCTATTTGTTAAACTGAATAGATTGAATTCCTTGAGTCTATCATTATAAGATACATTTTCTAATCCTTTAATCAATAATTTAAGCATCGGATTTAATTCAAACTACTGATATGCCTTACAAGGTTCTAAATTAACTGTATCAACTCTGGTATGTTGTCATTGTGGACAGATCAATGAAATCCTCTGCTCAATGAGCAGCTCTAGTCAGAAAAGCTAACAAGATGGTAGGATGCATAAGGAATGAGACCGAGAACAATATGCACAATATTATATATACATCAGTGGTGCAACCTTATCTGGATATACTGGTTATACTGTCCTATACTGTCACTCCATCTCAAAAAGGATATTGCAGAACTGGTGAGGGTTCAGAGAAGGGTAATGAGAATGATTAAGGGCCTGGGAAAAAAATCTCATGTGATGTGATATTGAAAAGACGGAGATAGTTTACCTAATGAAATGAATAAGAGGGGGCATGATAAAAGTTTATAAAATACTGAGTGCTCTAGGGAAGGGAGATTGGGAGCTTCCCTTCTCCGCGACTCATAGTACAAGAACAAAGATACAGTTAATGCAATTAAAAGGTGGGAAATTCAAACCAGTAAAAGGAAATACTTTTTTTCACAAAATGTGCTTAAACTGTGGAACTCATTGCCATATGAAGTCACTGAGGCCAAGAACTTAAAAGGTTTCAGAATGGAATTGGACATTTATAGGGATAACAAAAATACCCAGAGTTATCATAATTAATGACAAAGAGTTTGGAAGGATATTAAACTTTGTTTCAGGGCTCATGCCAATCTCCAACTATTAGAGACCAGGATGAGACTTAGGGCAGGGAAAGCACATCTGCCCTCTGTGGAGTTCTTGCACCTTCCTCTGAAGCATCTGGTGCTGGTGACAGAATACTGAACTAGATGGACCTTGGTTCTAATCCATGCTGGCAATTCTTATATTAGCTCTAACATGCCTGTGCAAGAGGTGATGGATACAAGGAGCCTCTGCCTCCCCATAAAAGGAACTAAGTACAATTGTTGTCTTTCCTAGCTAGCCATTCCAAAGTTGATGGGATGGATGGAAAGGAGGTAGGGTCATAGCCTCCCACTCTCTATAACCAGCCAGTCGGGTTGGCCAGATGTTCAGGAGAGAACATGCTTGTAATGAGGTACCCACAGCACCCCTCTGGATTCGGCCCCTTGGCCCCTCTCTTCCATGAATCAGGGACACTTCAGACTGGTGCAATACCCATGTTCTTTATTAATGATCAGTTTCCCACCACCAATTTCCAACTATATACAGGCATTACAACTGCTTGGCCTACCACAGACTTGGCCCGTAACAGACTAGGGGGTTCCTATTCCCTCTGAGCCTGACCTCCTGCTCTTAGTCTCCACACTCACACACGCTCTTCCTCTCACTTCCTTCCAGCCTTATAGCGCCTGCTAATGAGGCTGGCAGGTGTGGTCAGTTACTAGGCAAACATAGGGCGATTCACCCGGCCCCAATCCATTCTCCCTGATTGGGGCTGGAATGGCAGGAGCTGATTAAGGGCTTCTCCAGCAGGACCCTGCCACAGTGCTACACACATTTTAGAGGTGGTGCATTTCCCCTGTGATCCCTTGGGGTGGTGGAGAGCTGCACCACCCACAACACAGGCCTGCACCTTAAAAGCACAATCTGATGCATAGTATATGGATTACATACAGTATTATTTTATTATATATTATACACACACATTAATATTTATATGGCAGTGCATGGATTGCTCTTTCTTGAGCTGTCAAATCAGAAGAGCTACTGAAGTAACCAGGGGTTCCACACTCTATTAATTTTATACCAAATTTTTTAACAGCTTGTGTCGGGGTGGACTAGGCCCAGAGGCCCCCTGCTGGAGGCCTCCGGGTCTCACCACACCCCGTCCCAGAGAGAAGCAGAAGAGAAGTCCTCCAAGCGGCTTAGAGTGGCTGCAGGAGTGGCCAGGAGGGCCATGTAAAAAGGAGCAGCAGCGACAGAATCAGTCAGTTACTGCCTGGAGCTGGAAGAGAGAGGCTGGGATTCCTGGCTGGCTGAAAGAGCAGTAGTACCACAGACAGTTCAGTCTGGGCAGGGTCCAGGAGAACTAAGAAGGAGCTCCTGGTTGGCTGCTGGGATGGAGCCCAGAGAGGGCTGCAGGAAAACAGTGCCCCTGGAAGAGGTTTGTTCTGTTCCACTTACAGACAGTGTGTGTGACTTCTCTGGAAGGCTGAGACACTTGAAGACCTGCCAAAGAAACCATCGACTAAGGGGAGAACTTGCGAGAGGTGGGTACCAGCCCATTATCACAAACCGAGAAACTGCAAGCACACGCACTTGACCAGGGGGGCACTTGTGAGAGGTGGGTGCTGACCCCATTACACAGTCTCTAAAATTATGCCCAAGATTTTTGCGTGCTCAGAATTTCAGATTTGTATAAGCAAACTGTATTTGCTGTAATGATTGGAATTCTGTATAAAAATACCATCTGTACATGCAATAAACTATTACAGCTGCAGTTTTAGAGGTGAGGCTGAAGCTGTTTTGAAAATCTGTCCTGTATCTATATGCTGTTACCCCCTTACCACATTGGACCTTGATTAATAGATTCAATAGCTAATCTATGAAGAATTCATGGAGGAACGTTAAGACCTAACACTTTTCCACTGTAGTGGGGGAACTGTGGAAAACCTGTACATTGGGACACCCCACCTTTCTGGTGAAGAATGGATGTGACATCAGTGGCAGGCCTTGTAAGGGGTGGATTTGTAAAGCATTTTGAGAACCTTGGATTGCAAGTGCCACAGAAGTGCAGTATATAAAGACAGCAACACTAAGCACTTCCATATTCAAGTCAATTCAGATATTTTAGGGAAAAAGTTATTAGATAAAAATATACTGCAATTGATCCTTCACTGTAACTTACTCAATCTTAAATGCCAGAATAGGAGCAGTACTTTTGTGACACAAAAGCATTTCCATTTTAATTCTTATGCCATTAATAGCTTAAAAATGAGTCAAGCAAAACAATAAACTTAAGTGTCTTACCAGAATAATTATTGAGCCGAAACCTCCCCCAGCAAAAGTGCACTCGGCACTGCTTCCTCACCGTCTCTTTCATTAGGCAATGATATACAAAGATAAAGAGCCCTAAAGGAAGAAGGAAGACAAAATCAGTATTTTTCATATTGATTCCCTAGCTTCCTGCCTCATTTCTGAAGCTTTCATGCTCTCTTCAATCACAGACATATCATACAGCTCAGTATTTGACTGGTGGGTCTTACCTACATGTTCAAGGTCTAACTGATCTCCATATTTGGGGTCAGGAAGGAATTTTCCCCCAAGTCAGACTGGCAGAGACCCTCTGCAGCATGAGGCACTTGCTAGTTTGAACTAGAGTAAATGGTGGATTCTCTGTAACTTGAAGTTTTTAAATCAAGATTTGAGGACTTAATAAGTCAGCCAGAGGTTATGGGCCTATTGCAGAAGTGGATGTGTGAGGTTCTCTGGCCTGCAATTTGCAGGAGGTCAGAGTAGATGATCATGATGGTCCCTTCTGGCCTTAAAGTCTGAGTCTCTGAGAGAGGCAGATCCACAGCCTATATTATATTAGCACAGAACTCTGAGGGCTATTCTTCTCTTCCTTAATGCACATGAGTTAACAGATGACTAAAAGAGTCCTCTACAGATTTGATATTAGGGCAGACATTCTTGGCAGTCTGCTAGTCACTGCAAAATCCAAGCATGCATTTCTATGCCCAGATGAAATGGATTGTGTCTGTGTCCCTGAAAAGGGCATAGATTGGGACCTGAATTTCAAAGGCATTACCACAAGTCCTTACATACTAGTATTGAATTGTGACAGTGATATACTGTATAAAGTTCAGGATATCATCTCACTTACTCAAAAGGATTTTTATTATTAAACTATCCAAACTTCCAAATGATACAAACAAAGCTACTCAACCACCCCAATTTGGGTAGGTAAGATGACATTTTGGATGTATTTATATATCACACCCATAAACTGATAGAAATACACCATATTGCTATCAGCATCTCATACAGAAGTTACCTTGCAGTGTGTTACAAATGGTGAAGACATAACAAGAAAAAAATCCTTGCTGATCCCCAGGCAAAAAAGGCAAAGCCCCAGGTTAAGCCGTGTAAGAATGTCAGGCTGACCATGCTTCGCAGATCATGGAGAAAGTCCTGCTTCCAGTTCTTGGATTTTATTTGCTGCTTTGATTTCATGATATGAATTTGAAGAAGAACATTGATGAACATCACTATGTTAATCAGAAATATTACACAGAAATAGGCCACAACGGAGGTGTAAAAGACAATATCATCTTGAATCCAGCAACTACAGGAAAGGGGAAGAACATAGAAAGCTGAAAATAACTAATTAGGGAGCTATTCTGTTATCAATACAGATGGATGGGCATTGGTTAGAATTTCCTCAGATGATGTTTCAGTAGCAGATTCCTGCTTCCCCCCTTGCTCCAGTGTGGCAGTAATAGTGCCTCTGATACATAATTCCTTCCCTGTTTTGCTCATGAGATGCCATAGCGATGTTCTGCCCCCTGGCCAGTCCGATTGTAAATGCACAATCTGTTATTACGGGCATAGTACCATCTTAGCCAGAGCATGGCAAAAAGCAAGTTGGAGTATTCCTGATGTAAACATTATTTCAGAAGAAAGGATAAAGGAGTAGCTTGGTCTCACTGGAAAAGAAGAAAGGTTGATGTGATCTAACTGAAGAATTCAAGATTACGAGAGATTTGATAAGGACAAAGGAGATACAGGAATGAGAAGTTCAAAAACCCTGGGGAATTAACATAAGCATGTGGAACACTGGACCAAATTATTTTTATAGAGACTCCACTGAACGCATGGAATAGGTTTGTCTTGATTTACAATCAACCTTCCAAGGGGACAAGTGGGGACAAAAAACCTAATTGGCTTCAAGACTGATCTTGATAAGTTTTTATAGAGGAGATGGTATGATGAGGCTGCCTATATGCCATTGCAGGCAATCTGCGACTGCTAGTAGCAAAGATCCCTAATGGCAGGTGATGGGACACCAGATGGGGAGGACTCTGAGTTACTACAGAGAATTCTTTCCCAAGTGTCCGGCTGTTGGGTCATGCCAACATACTCAAAATCCAACTGATCGCCATATTTTGGGTTGGGAAGGAATTTTTCTCTGGGTCAGATTGGCAGAGATCATGGGGTTATTTTGCCTTCCTCTGCAGCATGGGGCAAGGGTCATTGCCAGATTTCAACTAGTGTAAATGGTGGATTGTCTGTAACTTGAAGTCTTTAAATCATGCTTTGAGGACTTCGGTAATTCAGCCAAAAGTTGTGTCCTCTGTTACAGGAATGGGTGGGTGAGGTTCTGTGGCCTCAGCGTGCAATGTGCAGGAGGTCAGACTACATGATCATAATGGTCTTTTCTGACCTTAAGAGTCTATGAGATTATGTTAATATGTTCCAGAAGCAAAGAGATTCTTCAAAAAGAAAGAGGAATTGACACTCAAAGTGGCAAAGTAAAGAGAAGGAGATTAGCATGAACTAGAAGAAATAAAAGGAGACAAGATGTTGGGCCAATTCCTTCAAATATACTTACAAAAAAATGAATGAGTTCTGGTTTTTAGAAAATGATCCATTGCCATAAAAGTCTGTATTTATAATGAGGAGAGTAACAACTACAACAGCTGGTATTCCTAATAGCATGGGAGAAAAGAGAGATTTTAAACAGAAAACAAAAAAAAGGAAATCTGGAAGTGGGAGACATCTAGTCTCCTGGATGTGACAGTCCATGATTAATAATTACAGCAGTGATACAGATGTGTAGGTCAAGGTCTCGTCTCAGTAACACGCCTGAAGGCTCTGCTGAAATCACGTGCATCAGAGCAGAATTGTCTATGTAAACTGCAGATGAGTAGGCATAAAATATCTTCATTTGCAAAATGTTCGAGTTCTCAAACATCTTCAGAAGGGATCCACTCTACTAAAATAATAGCTCAAACACAACCCCTACTAATCATTAGAAAAATCTTAGAATGGCAAAAGACAAATTGGTAGTAGCACTCTGTGTAACAATCTAATGAGGTTGACATTTTTCAAATAGTACTTGTCCACAAATCTTCAGTGCCACTCCTTTCCTGTTTACCATGTTCCTTTCAGCTCCTGTTTTTGTTTGCCAGAATGATTGTTACAGACATCATCACTGTTAAGAGCTGTGCCTAAACAGAGTTCTTGTAAGGCTAATAATCAGCATAGTTGTGTGCAAAATCTAATGACATAGATGGTGATGTACGTGTGGAATTTAAAAATAGTCACTGAGTTTAGCAACTATCCAGGCAACTCAACAGAACTATAATCACTGCGTCAAATTCTGCTCTTTTTTAATGCAAACCTGCTTGTTAGCCCCTTTTTGCCAGTCTTCCCTGCTAATGGATAGATGATGCCTTTGGTGCCCTGTTGTTTGGCGGGAGAGTGGATGGGGCCATGCTACTGCTGGAGTCCCCCAAAAATATTCTGATTGGAGCCAGAGTTCACTCAGAGGGCTCCCTGGAAGTGCATGTTGGAGTGGCAGCTACAGGACACTGTCCTTAGAGATGGAGGGCGTGATCCCCCTCTACCTGGCCACAGAATGGAGACAGGCCCATGGTTCTTCCCCCATGCTGCCTTCATTCAGGCAGCTGGTATGCACAGGATCACTAGGATTGTGATTGATCCCTGTGCAGGGGCACGAGAGGTTGGGAAAGAAGCTCATTAAGTCCCCTCTCTCTTTGCATATCCATGGAAGGGGCCAATAACAGTCTTGCTCCAGCAGAGCAGGGCTGGGTGATGCTGACCCATGAAGCCTTTGAGTATAGATACTCCTTGCAGGCACAGTACAATCCACATGCCTGTATTCCTGTGCAGAAGAGGAGCAGCAAGGACTATCTGCTACACTCCCATGTCATAGAATCATAGAATCATAGAATATCAGGGTTGGAAGGGACCCCAGAAGGTCATCTAGTCCAACCCCCTGCTCGAAGCAGGACCAATTCCCAGTTAAATCATCCCAGCCAGGGCTTTGTCAAGCCTGACCTTAAAAACCTCTAAGGAAGGAGATTCTACCACCTCCCTAGGTAACGCATTCCAGTGTTTCACCACCCTCTTAGTGAAAAAGTTTTTCCTAATATCCAATCTAAACCTCCCCCACTGCAACTTGAGACCATTACTCCTCGTTCTGTCATCTGCTACCACTGAGAACAGTCTAGAGCCATCCTCTTTGGAACCCCCTTTCAGATAGTTGAAAGCAGCTATCAAATCCCCCCTCATTCTTCTCTTCTGCAGGCTAAACAATCCCAGCTCCCTCAGCCTCTCCTCATAAGTCATGTGTTCCAGACCCCTAATCATTTTTGTTGCCCTTCGCTGGACTCTCTCCAATTTATCCACATCCTTCTTGAAGTGTGGGGCCCAAAACTGGACACAGTACTCCAGATGAGGCCTCACCAATGTCGAATAGAGGGGAACGATCACGTCCCTCGATCTGCTCGCTATGCCCCTACTTATACATCCCAAAATGCCATTGGCCTTCTTGGCAACAAGGGCACACTGCTGACTCATATCCAGCTTCTCGTCCACTGTCACCCCTAGGTCCTTTTCTGCAGAACTGCTGCCTAGCCATTCGGTCCCTAGTCTGTAGCTGTGCATTGGGTTCTTCCGTCCTAAGTGCAGGACCCTGCACTTATCCTTATTGAACCTCATCAGATTTCTTTTGGCCCAATCCTCCAATTTGTCTAGGTCCTTCTGTATCCTATCCCTCCCCTCCAGCGTATCTACCACTCCTCCCAGTTTAGTATCATCCGCAAATTTGCTGAGAGTGCAATCCACACCATCCTCCAGATCATTTATGAAGATATTGAACAAAACCGGCCCCAGGACCGACCCTTGGGGCACTCCACTTGATACCGGCTGCCAACTAGACATGGAGCCATTGATCACTACCCGTTGAGCCCGACAATCTAGCCAGCTTTCTACCCACCTTATAGTGCATTCATCCAGCCCATACTTCCTTAACTTGCTGACAAGAATACTGTGGGAGACCGTGTCAAAAGCTTTGCTAAAGTCAAGAAACAATACATCCACTGCTTTCCCTTCATCCACAGAACCAGTAATCTCATCATAAAAGGCGATTAGATTAGTCAGGCATGACCTTCCCTTGGTGAATCCATGCTGGCTGTTCCTGATCACTTTCCTCTCATGCAAGTGTCCAGGAGTAGCTGTCAGCAGGACCTGTCCGGGCTAAGGAATCCTACTTGTAGTGGTGAAGTGCATTTTCATGTGATGAATGCCTACATTAGAGCAGTATACCAAGCACAGATATCAAGAGAGATAAGCTGCTTACTTACCCCACCCAGCAATGCAGAATTTCAGTATGTAGTTTGGAATGTATATTCTGAAGACTTTGAGAGCAAAGTACATGTGAACCGGTTCCAGGCCCATCCATGAGAAGGCTACAAGCAGGAAGTAATGAAGGAACACAGCCACTGTGATATACAGGCCCTGGTTGTTAAATGATGACAGCCAGGGATTGACCAGGAATAACAGGTTTAGCATCAGCAGTGCAGTGCAGAGATTTACCAGGATTTTTGAAGGATAATCTCTGCGAAGCTTGCTAAAATAAAAGTGAAAAGAAATGAGAGTTTCCAATATTGTCATTGTGCAGTTGCACTTGTTGCCAATTAATGAAAGGTTATCACATTTGTTCTCTAGCAGGAGGTAATAAAAATGTGTATTCAATAGCCTAAGTGACTTAAAACTAAGCTTCATAAAAACTTGTTTTTAATTAAAAATACTCCCCTAGTATCCAACATCAGGGCACACCCTACACACTAACTTCTTAAATAACAGACAGAATTCAATTCCCTAATGGTTCCGTGCTGCAAAGGCTAGGAGTAGATATTATCCATGTTCGGAGGAGCATTCTAGAATTGGCATGACAGCAGTGAGTGGAAAAGACAAAACTTCATTGTCTTACAGCCATAGCCCATGTTTTACTTAATACAATATTATTTGTATTATGACAGCACCTAAAGACCCCTCCTGAGATTAGAGCCACATTGCACTGGACACTATAGAAACACAGAGTAAAAGACATGCCTTGCCTCAAAGAATTTATAATCTAAACACAAGACAGACAAAGAATAGGAGAAGGAATGTATAAATATCTCTATTGTACAGATGGGGAACTAAGCCACAGAGAGATTTAGTGACTTGCCCTGAGCTCCCTATTGTGTCCAGGTCTCCTGAGTCCTATTCCAGTGTCTTAAACACAACACCATCCTTCCTCTTTGCAAATTTAAATTTAATTTAAATTAAATAATGAAAATAAAAAATCTTTCTATGGGGAAAGAAAATGAACCCATTTAGGTGGTTATGAGGCGTTACCACCTATTACTACCCATCAAATATTAAGTATATCCTGCATTGCATGCTACTTTATTCCTTATAACTGTGAGCAGGTAAGACATTAAGACCAGATTTTCAGGTGTGTCTGTACATTAAAGTGCCCACAAAAATGCATGTTCTGTTGCTGTGACTATGCACACCAAAAAGAATATTTGCAAATGCCAAGCAAAGGATAGTTGTTTAGATGCTTAAATGAGTACCTCTGTGCACAAAACCACCTAGTTTGCAAGTAGTTATAGTAACTACAACTGCATGTGCACTTTTCTGGTAATTTGGCCCATAGTGTCTAGTCCAGAAGTGTCAGCTCACCTTTTGTTTGTACATCAAGGAGACTAAAACAGCAAAAACATGGGGAAGAGAAAAATCCATACATGGAAAAGGAATTCCTTAAAACTGAAAGGATTGCAGACAAACAGACTTTTAACTTAGAAAGGCAAATAAAAAATAATGAAAAAGCAAGAAGAAATAGAGGTCTAAAATCTACAATGCTACTATACAATTATGAGCTTCTCTTCAATCTAAATTAATTCTTGTGGCTTTCTACATGTGGAAAGAGCCTGGAATAACTATTGCTGAAGAGCTATTCTGCACTAGCTCTCTAGTTCTAGTGGGGAATAGCTATTATGCTTTAAAGTTACACAGAAGCTATTTCACAGTAACTTCCCTGTAAGTCCTCATGTAGACAAACACTTCTTTCCAAAAGATCCTCCTATAGTTCTCCATAACTTTGCTTCATCATCATTCAGTTGGTATATTAGTTCATCAAAATACACAAAACATGTAATGAGTATTTCTATTCCACCACACTGAATATCTTTTCAGCACTCTAAGACACATCAATGGCAGAGTGATCCACCTTCCTGGTAGACCTGATGCACATTTACACTGAGAGCCTTTTATATTGCCCTTTGAGAATAAGGTCTCATAGTAAATCTCTCAGACACCTCATGGAGGATAGGTTCATCAGTGGCTATTACCAAGATGATCAGGCATGCAACCCCATGCTCTGGATTTCCTTAGGCCTCTGACTGCCAGATGCTGGGATTGGATGACAGCGGATGGATCACTTGATGATTGCCCTGTTTTGTTAATTCCTTTTGAAGCATCTGGCACTGGCCACTGTCAGAAGACCAGATACAGTGCTAAATGGGCCATTGTCTGACCCAGTATAGCCATTCTTATGTTCTCATAATCTGTGCTTACCACTTTTTCAGGATAACATAAGGCCCAATATTATTGGAGACTTTTCCCATACATTTAAAAATCCATATTGATCAAGCAAAATTATTTCTTTTATTCAGATTTGTCAGTGCCTATGTCGGGCTGTAGGTGCTTACTACAAAAAGAAGTGGATTTCTATCTTACTTGGGAGTAAATGTGAGCTTCTACTCTGAAAAGTGTCTCTAAAAATATCGTTGTAGGATTCCATGATGATTGTATCTCAGTGATTTCCAAATACTGGATATGTGTTTAGTTTAAAAATAAAAAAAGAGGCTTTTCTAGCTGCAAGCCCTGCAAACTCTTCTGGATTCTGGCAAATGCTATATTTTTTCCATGTCATGCACCATAACCAGCAGGCCAAATTAAATCCTTGGTTAATCTATGCAACCCTGTTGTCTTCAGATTATGCCATCTGTAAAATCTGAGCAACTCACTGGAATCAGGGCCAGCTCCAGGCACCAGCTTTGCAAGCAGGTGCTTGGGGCAACATTCAGAATGGGGCAGCAGTCCATGTCCCCCAGCGGCAATTCGGCGGCAACTGCTTGGGGCAGCAAAATTGGTAGAGTCACCCGTGACTAGAATTTAGCAAACAATTCTGTGGATATTTCACAAAGCGAAGAACAACCCACTTACTCTCTTTTATTTGTATTAGCGTTACAGTGCAAACAAGGGTTACAAGTAGGAAAAACTTATGTTTTGTCACTCAAGTAAGAAGATATGACTCTAAGTAACAGGTGCCATTTTTCCTGTCACTTTCCAGAGGAGATCTACATTTCAAGGCTGTGTTTAATAGGAACAATCTTTTATTTTCTGCCTCCTTTAACACTGCATATAGAGATTGGGACCCAAACCATTGAACGTACAGGATATTCCATCCTCTTGCCATGACACCATATCAGGAACACAAGAGCTGCCAAACTGGTTCAAACCAGTGGTTGAATACAGCCCATACCATATCTCCAAGAGTGGCCAGTACCAAATGTTCCAGAGCAAGGTGAAAGAAACACTGCAGTAGGCAGTTTTGGAATAACATGTTCACAGGGGAAATCACTTCCTAATCTCCATTAGTTGGAGGTTGTCTTATGCCCTGAAGCATGAAGTGTTATATCACCACTATTCCACTGTATTATATTCAGATCATCCTTCCATCATCATCTTGTGTCTGATCTAGCATCAATGTTACTGAAAACTCCTGCAGTGACTGCAGGGGTCATTTATTGCTTTTGCATGGGGGAAAAAATAAAAGAAAGGATTCAACTTACTCAAGAGTTAGGTGCATCACCAGCACTACCCCCAAGCAAAGGGCAGAGGCACCACATCCTGCATAGGTTATCAGAGTTAATATGCGATGAGTCACACCATCTATCACTGTCCGGGTTAAGTCCTAGGTCAAAATATAAAGAATTCTGGTCATTACTCATAACTGGCCTACGTCATGCAGAAAAAATCCAATTGCTTCCTACATTTTCACATTAGGGAAAGAGCAGTTTCTAGTCCTTTTTTTTTTCTAAATGTTTGTATTATTTTTACAAACCACTCATTTTAGAATGTAGTGAAATACCAGAGACAGTGAAAATATCCAGTATTTAATTGCCAAGAAGTTGCAAAAGCATCATTCTCATTGCACTTCAGACTTCCATGCGGCTTTTAAAGTAATACAGCAAAAATATTGAATGGACATTCATTTTGTAGAAGAAACTCTCATTTGTTAAAATGGGAGTTGCTGAAAGTGGGGGATGGAGACACATGCCAGATGCTTCAAAGTGTGGGAGGATTCACCAAGTCAAAAGTACTTTCAAGAGCCAGGCTGTGAAAAACACTCCGTGAAATGGGCCTCACTCCCATAGATTCCTTCCCAATGACGTTCATGACATGAATCTTGTTGCCTGCCATAACCTGCTGCTATATGCTTTATATGTGACTTTTGAACCAAGCAAGAGTAATTTGTTTCCTTTTGTACTGAGAATTGTAGACATCATGCAGTCAAAACAGTTCCTACAGTGTATGTAACCGGAATGGCAATGGAGAATAGTGAGTTTACAATTTGGTTCAGTCTGACTTGTTTTATTTAGAAATAGGACAAGCTGCATGAAATCTACAACATCCAAATTTCCTTCTTATAGAAGTAACATTTTTACTACCAGAGAGGGCTCTTGCATCTATATTTGAGGTGAGTAATGATGACCTCTAGGGACCAGTTAGTTTAATCACAGGTGTGTATTTGTGTTTATATTGCACATACCAAAGGGAAATGGACCACGTGTTTCCCCCAGGCAGGTTCTCCTATGGCAGGGTGAGGAAATTCTGCTAGTGTCTGCTACATAGTTTATTCAGAATTCCCCAATCACTTTGCTTTTTGTTGCAACCATTTTCAATCCTTCATTTGTACACTGTCTGTTTTGATAAAGGTTTTTGGGCCAGGAACTTTGTTAAAGTACTTAACACACTTTTGGTGTTATGTAAATAATAGATGATAATGCTGGTACATTTTTAGATTAAGAGAGTTTAATTAGTGACACTTTCAGGGAAACTGAACAACATTAGTTGCTGTTGGCAGGTAACTAACATTACCATACAACCCAATACAACAGCTAATGCAGTAATATTCATTAGGGAGAATTGTAAAGATGCAATGAAAGCTAAGAGGCAATGACAATTGCTGTAAAATGAATTTGTACTGAGTGTGCAGTTGGACTTCAGTTTCTTTTTTAACTTAAAACTTACTTTTATTTGCTTTCTTTATTAGTATGACTTCCAGCAAAATACAATTTGCTCTCTAAAAGCTAATTTGGAACTAAGAGGTCTCCCACAAGTCCAGTGATGACTTGGTGTAGTGCTGTCAATGTCTTCTGGAGATGATTCATGGAGTACTTACCAGCAACACTCCAAAATGGGTAAGATGGTTACAATAACAGATTGTGTAATTCATATCTCTGTGTTTCACTTCACACCCTGATGTATTCCAACCACCGAGTCCATCTGTACAACACAGAAAGGAATTTTTAACCAGTTAGTCATATCCAGTAATTTATAGCTCTGAAAAATGAAAGAGGTGTGATTATGAGCTCAAGGTAGTACAGATAGCAGGGTCAGCTAACAGCTCACATGGGTGAGATTTCACACAAGAACACGTTTTGAATTACTGTCAGAGATTAGAATCTCTAAACTTGTACAGATGAAACTTGGGGAATGAAGAAATATTTCTAGTACTACATATTTACATATATATATAGAGAGAGGTTGGCTAGATTACATCTAAGGAGGTGGGGACATGGTAAATATTTGAAAGGTGGGGAGGAACAGTTTAGGTCAGGGGAGTCAAACATTCTGCTTGGAGACCAGATCTCTCCTGGTGTGACTTATTTACAACCTATTTATGTGGCTGGTATCACATATTCAGATTCTGCAGAATCTAAACTCTCAGTTAAAAGAAGAAGAAATTTCTGTCATTGGTGAGAGCACAGAAAACCTTCCAAACGTGAGCTGATTGTAAATTAGTACACTGTTGTCTTCCTGAATCTGCAGAAAGTGTGGGCCAAATTCCACGCTCAGCTACACTAGAATGACACCATTAACTTAATGGAGTAACTCTGAGAAGAATGTTAATCTTTCATTGCAAAACCATGATATGTAAAGCTTGAATCATGTATTTTAGGGAGAAAGAAGTGATCTCCCAGGAACTCCCAATTTCCGCTTTATTTGCCCCCCCCCCCCTTCAAAGGCTTTATTTTGGACCAGCCTACCCTTCCAGATAGAGATGAATGGCTAAAGGGGCTCACTGGAGACTGACATAAAGCGTTCTGAAGCATTTTGGAGCTCTTTTAGTATTGTTTGTAGTCCAACGTTATATCTACACTAGCACTTTTGTTGGTAACTTTTGTTGGTCAGGGGTGTGAAAAAAACCCACCCCCTGACTGACAAAATATTCACTGACAAAAGGGCCAGTGTGAACAACGGAGGGAGAGCACCTACAGCCACTCGTTGGGAGGAAAGCTCTCTCCTGCCGGCATAGCCAGCTACGTAAGAGACCTTACAGTGGCACAGGTCCGTAGTGTTGACGTACCTAGGGTGACCAGATAGCAACTGTGAAAAAACGGGACAGGGGTGGGGGGGGGGGTAAAAGGTGCTTATATAAGAAAGTCTGCAAAAATGGAACTGTCTCTTTAAAAATGGGACAGCTGGTCACCCTAGACATAGCCTAACTCTAATTTTTTGTTAAATCCATCCTACACACTCAGTAGATTTAAGAGCATTGACAGTGATTTTCTGCCATTTCTAACCAGGAGATCAGCTAGCCCTTCCTGTGAGCATTTCATTGTTTTGGGGAGGGAAGTACTTTTGTTACTGGGAACTGTTTTATCTTACCAGAAAGTGTTAGTTATTCTGCTAGTCCACATTAAAAGCAGAACACAAATGAGATGGGCCAACCCCAATTCCTGGATCCTGTCACCCATAAATTCTGAGAACTTTCAGATTTGAATCCTGATCCAAATTCAATGACTGGCCCCTTTATTTATAATGGGCCAAACCAAAACCTTGGATCCAGACACTCCTGCAAATTCAGAATCCCAATCCGAATTTGAGCCCACCCCAGCTCTGATTCTCCACTGACCCTAGTACTATACCTGTGTAGCTACGTTGCAGTCAATGGAGTTACTCCTGATTTGCACCAGTGTAAACGAGTGCAGAATTAGCCCCAACCTGCATACTCAGCAACCTTCAGGTAGCATTTTCAATAAGGATAACTTGTCCAACCCCATTCCTGTTAATGAGCTAGAGATATGAACAGCACCTCCTTATGCTAACCATACTCCACTGAATTAGTCCTGTTCAGTTGCATGTCCAGGTGAAGATGATTATAATAATACTCTGTGTGTCTAAAGCACTTTCTAGCCGAATATCTTATTGCTCCTTAACAACCATTAATAAATACTGTCTCACAACACCACTGTGAGGGAGGAAATTGTTATCTCCATTTACAAGTGGATGAGTGTCAGAATCAGGAACAGAAAACCCAGGTCTGTTGGTCTTATGCATTTATAATACAGTGATTACTATCATATCTATATCCTGACTCCCAATCTTGTGCCTAGCCTGCCCATAGGGGGTTTATTATTCATATCTGCTAATCAGACCTACTTATTAAACAGTTGAAACTTAAATTAATCAAATCAGTGTTACTCTTAAGTAAATTCAGTTTTAGATTTACTTTTACTCTGCTTTTAGCTTAGTTTTACTCTTCACCATTTGTGTTGATGCCTCATTACAAGTACTGCTAGATGACCATCCCTCAGAAATAACACTGACTATATTGGTTGTCATAGAATGGCTGGCCCTTTGAGGGAAGATGGAACCCAGCCCATCTGTGACAAGCATAACCTGCCTCCCCAGGTGCAGAAAATTGGTAACTGATAAAGGAGAGGATTGAATAAAAAGAGTCCAGAAAAGGCAGATGCCTGTCACAGTCCCTAGGGAAGGGAGTTACTGAAAGAAGCTGCTGGGGAAAAGAAGTCTATGAGCCACAGTCCCAGGAAGAAGGACTGTGACATCCTAGATTTGAGTGGTGAGTTATGGATTGGGGAGGCCCCGAACATAAAGCCACAGTCCCAGGAAGGTGGACTGTGCAACCCTCACCCTGAGGGGTGAGCAGAAATGAATGTTTGTGGATGCTAAATTATACTAAATAAGTTAGACCCTAGAAGAGGAGGAACTATTGTTTCAAAGAGCTTGGCTGTGACTGAATTATTCTTGGGGCACTCAGAGAAATTGAGGCAGGGTGCCTGTGGGCCACCCCAGGCCGTGCGGGGGAGACTTGGGATGGCATGTGCACAATGGTGTAGACTTCAGTAAGAAGCACCTATCCTGGATGCACTTGACCTGAACTACAGACATCAGTGTTTGTAACGGCACATTAGGTAGCCAAGGGCATCATCAGGATGGTGATGGCTAAAATATGGCAACCTTGTAAATAGTACTTACTGTTCTTTGTAAAGTCCCAAAACACACAGTGCATTGTAGCATTGTTCTGAAAGAAAGGAAAGTGAGTGCTGTGACATTGCTGCACACTCCCTTTAATGTTTGCTCTTTAACTCTGACTATATGAGAAGTGATCAATCCTAATTTGTTTTCCACTCTAAGGGGCAAAAACTGGGTTTGGCAAAGACTTCTGCAGAGGTTGTTTGGTTCAAAAACAGCTACATGGCCAGTTGGAGAACAAGCTTCCGCCATGTTGCCCTCTCAATGTGTCTCAAGTCTGACCTAAGTAGCCCATCTAGAAATAAAAGTGGAGTTCAGTCTGTTCTCATTCACACCTGGGTCTCTGCTGAGACCATAAGCAAGGTTCCCAAATGTGCTGGTGGTTTTTGGGATGTGCACTCCTGTCCACTGAGAGCTGGACTTAAGAATATCAGCAATCTCACATGTGCCATCAAAAAGCTCTCAGGTGGTAACAACTTTTACTGCCTACCTGGGCTAGATTAGAAGGGGCATCCTAGAGATCAGTGGTTTTCCCATTACCACTTTCCTAGATCATCCCAACCTCCCATCAGTATGTTTATCTTATTCCGTAAGAGTTGGGCTATGTCTACACTATGGACCTTACAGCGGCACAACAGCACCTGGACCAGTAGACCATCTTGGTCACACATTTGCTGTGAAACCTTTTAGGCAAGTCACCTAGCTATTCTGTGTCTCAGCTTCCCATCTGTCAAGTGAGGAGGATGATACCCACCCACCCTAGGGAAGTCCATGGAGAGGTATGAATGGAAAGCGCAATATAAGTATTACATAATATTACCAAAGCTTTGTGCAGGAGGAGGGGGTGAATTTCACCCTAAATGTTAATATGCAGTATTTCTAGGTAGCACCTGAAGGCTGTAAGAAGAAACAAAGTGCTTTCCTCTGCCTTTCTGCCCTTACAGTACTCCAAAAAGTTGTTTCTGATTAATACGATCTGCAATAAAAAGCAGGCTCCTCTCTGAAACTCTGTATGTTTTCATGTACTCTTTGTAACAAAAGGACACAACTAAATTTTAGCCAAGGGCCTACTGATTGAAAAGTGCAGTCAGTATACCGTGGGCCACTTCTGCAGATCAAGTCATATTTCTGCATGCCAGCACCCAGACTGGGTGTAGCATTTTTGTGTTTATGTTGCTGTCTCTTTGCACTAAGTGCTGAATTATAGTTTCTTAATCTTAATTAATAGGCGGGGGGAGAAATCAACTTGTGTTGGTTTCCCTGAGATCAAGGGAAAAGAGTGTGTGCCCCTTACTGCCAGCTAGAGATTTGGTAAGGGAATGCATGCTTAGGTAACTTGTGTGAATTAGACAGACCGCCTGAAATCCATTTGAACTGTTCATCTTGCTGTTGCCCTGCAGCATGCAAAGATTAGTTCAGTAGGAGGAATGTTTCAAGTGGACAACAAGACAGGAAATCCTATTTTAAGGATGAACAGAGATTAAATTGAATTTAATTGAAAAGGCTTGTGATTAAATAAAAAAGCTATACTTTATTTGGTTTTATATGCTGTAGAAGAATATTCACTGGCTCACTGAGGTTGTGAATTGATACATTTTCAATGCTGGCACTCACAACATCGGTGTTCAACACTTCATTCCTGCGACTGCTATCCTGTAATGGAAATGTACAGAAAATAAGAGTTCAGGTTATTCAGGCTACTAGGATTCCAACTGTTTGCTGTCTGATTTGTTTGAAAACTGTGTTTATTAGAATCAATGAGAGGACACCTGGGAATACCTGATTTAATTCAGATTCCCGCTATTTATTTAGGAAATGTAGTTAGTGGGAAATTCAGAGACAAACTCTCTTCTAATTAGCTAAAGTGAAACATAGCTGCAACCATATTGACTGGACCAGAAGAGTTTCACAACCATTTCCCTAGAACAAGGTAGTCTGTGGCATATCACTTAAAATGTTAGACATGAAGCCCAAAAGATTGAGAACCCTTCAAGCCAGAGACAATGCCTTCTTGTATGTGCAGAAGCAACACTTTGTACACTGAGTGCTACCATAATATAAATTGAAATAATATCCAGGCTTTCTAGTGTGCCCATCTTTATAGTATCTGGAGTGCAACAAAATTCCAAAAAGTAACAGAACAGTCTGCAAGACTGCATATCATTGTTGCTGTTATTTTTAAGGATAATTTGACAGGTATTATGCATGTTCTGTAAGAAACAGTAAATTTATACTGAAGGAGAGAGATTAGGTTGTGTTCTGATTATTTTGTGAAATAAAAAAGTTGGGATAACGCCAAATAGGCAAGATGAAAATTACTCAAATCTCTGTAGACAATGATCAGAGAAGCCTAGAAACACAGAAGGCCAGTTGGGCCATCCAGTATGCTCCCCACAGATGCAAGGTTGTACCTTACCCCACATTTATTATTACATGGTCCACTCTAGTTTTAATTGTGCCCAGCAATGCAGCTTCCTCTAGCTAATAGATAACTCTGCCAGGATCCTTTCCCTGCACAGTTTAGGAGAAGCAGTTTATCTAAATACTATTAGGCTAGTGTTCGCTAATGACAATATTTACCACAAAGAGCGACGTTTTCCAAAAAAATTAAACTGAATCTTTGAATGATATTCTGGATCTAAAGATTGGATCCCCAAGTAGCTCCTCCGTAATCTTGGCAAAAACACAGCAGCCCAGGCCTTTTTAAAAGGTTCTTCACGTATATCAATCTGTATGAAAGAGATAAAATGCTCAGAGATATGTCTGCCTCAGGCCTAATTCCTAGGCACTAGCTTCTTGGGGCGGAATTTCCCTTTCAATTTGTTTTCTTTGTGAATGTTTTATTCCGTCTGGAAAAAAGTGTCCCTGCAATCAAAGATAAAGGTGAATGGCTGTTTCCTTCCTGTACCCCACCCAATAGTGGGATTGGGTCAATAACAGACATAAGATGGGAATGTTTTACAAATACAGGGCCATCATGATGGGGTATTTAAACCTCCCATTGGTTATCCCGGATTAACAGAATCCTGAGCCTAATTAGGCTGCTGGCTGGTACCTGGAGGGGTGATAGGCGTAATTGATCAAACCCAGCTGGGTCTTCATAAAGGAAGGAGCATAGGGCAGTAGGACAAGGGCAAGACCCAGGAGACAGGTAGCTGGCTGTCTTGTAGGTTAAAGGCTGAAAGAAACAAGAAACTAGAACTGGAGGGTCCAAAGCTAGAACGGAGGCTTGGGCCAGACATAAGTTTTCCTGAAAGCAGTGATGCCAAAGGTTGTTTGGACTGAAATATGAGGGGCAATCGAGAAGAGCTCTGTAGGTATTCCATGGGCATGAGAAAATGGCATTTTGTGGAAGATGTGGGAGTGGGTCAAGCTCCTGGGGTTGACCCTTTCACAAGGGCAGGAGCTCGACCTCTTGGGAGCAACCTTGGAAGGTGTTGCTTGTTACAAAGAGCCCAGGAAGGGGCTGGGGGAAAGGCCTGAGGAAAGACACTTGGTGGGAAGGAGTCCAGAGAGGCAACAGCAGGAAGTCTGATGAGACAGACTTTGGTTGTTTGTCCAAGGTCCCTGGACTGTAACCCAGTGTAGAGGATGGGCCTGTGTTCCCCTGCCACTTACTGGGAAGGTGGTGTGAAGCCTCTCAATGGAAGGAGGATAAAAAGATAATTCAGAGTCCAGAGAGAGGGTTGGAAGAACCAATGGGTCCACTTGACACAAGGTCCTGGAATTATTTGTTGGACTTACTTTGTTACCCTGAAATGTTTGGAATGAAAGCATGACCTGGCTGAGTTGTGAGAAGAGGTGGAACAACACAGGTCTGGAGTGACCACCAGCAGTGGGTGGTAAAGATGGAGATTCTGCTGTGCCAAGAGGGGGGCATGCCTGTGGTGAGCGAACACTTCAACAACCATATACTCTTAACTATGCAGGAGCAGGGAGCACAAATGCAGCAGTTCCAGGCAAAATAGGTCACCAGTGCTATGCAGGAACATGTGGCTCAAGATCAGTCTGTCACTCTGTAAAATGATGGGTGGTTTCACCAGCCAGGAAGGAACTCCAAGCATTAGTTCTGATAAGACCTCTTCATTGGGGGCTTGTTTTATTATCCACAAAACAAAAGCAAGCTAACTGAAAATCACTCAGCATTAATCGTCAGAAGTGTTCCCTGCTCCAGCCAGCCATGGAAGTATACACCCTTCTCCTTGGTTTCCCTTCCTCTTATACTCTGCACCAAACAGCTGTGACCAGCTGGGAGCCTCTTAACTCTTTACAGGCTGTAATAGCACTTTTACCTTGTCACGTGCTTCCTTACAGGCAGTTAATGACAGATCTCAAAGGGTTTATGGTTTGAGTACATATAAGGCTTATCTGAACTATCCTCTTTGCTCCACTTTTCTAACACAATTTCTGGCATTTCTGGTTCTGTCTCTGACTGTAAGTGAAGTAACTTTTCCAGGCACTTCAGAACCTCAAATTTTGTGAGTATGATTCTACAAAGAGTGAAGATTCTGATGCACATAAGGTTTTAGGGTGGGGCAGTTAGTGCTTGAGATCTAAAGATGAAAAGTGCTATACAGTACAAGAGCTAGGCACTGTTTATTATTTTTCCCCAGGCCAATTTGCCCATCACTGTCATGGACTGGAAACAAAACACAAAGGAGGAAAAAATTATTTTTTAAGAGATAATTAAAAAATTAGGCGGGACAATGGGAGGTGTTTGGATGTGAATATGGATTCAGTTTAGGCTGTAGTTTAGGGTTCATGTAGAGCCAGGGCTGGTTTTGTGTTTGGATTCTTTGGTATTGAAATCTTGAAAGGCATTTTTGTGGTACGTTTTTTGTCTTCCCACTGCCCTCCAAAAGGACACAAATGTCATGATCAACTGATTAAATAAGATCCCTGCAACTTTGAACTGTGGAAATATTGTTCTTGTAGAAGTTCTGACCTATCTCGACTGGAACCGTTAAACCCAACTCTCCCAGTACAGAACCATCCTAGGACCAAAGCCAAGGGGCAGACTTCGAATTTGAACTGAAAAGGGATCAGACT